TTTCCAGAATAGATTCTTCCAATTTCCCCCAACTCCCCAACCCATCAAATTGTACAACCCCATAGTTAATCCTCCCCTCCCCCAGCACATCCTCATTCCTCTCTGCTTCCACCACTGCCTGAGAGTTTTACACTAGCTTTGCCATTAAATACATCAACATGCTATTTTTCAATCAAGAGTTTTTGAAATGTACTTACCAGCTTTATTGACTGGTTGGATCTTATTGCTTCATGCGTTTCACTACTATCCTCTGCATTCATATTAGTTCTTGTTCAGTAGATACTTCATGTGTCTTGTTTGTTGGGAGGGTTTTTTCCTCCCAGTGAGAGCAGCTAAGTAGTACAATTTCATAGTCATTCTGTATTTGAATATACCCCTATTTCACCCTCATTTCTGGAAGATAGATAGTTTTCCTGTAGAACACTAGATATAAAATGTATTACCTCACTTCACTTGGAAGGTAGGATTTTTTTATCTTCTTGCTTCTGATATCACTTGTAGAAATCCGATGCTCCAATCTAATTCTTACTCCTTTATAGAGATGTATTTTTCTCTTTCTGATAATATTTGTATTTCCTTCTCTTTGTTGTATTATAAAAACTTACTGCTTAGAACTCATAAACGTTTTTAAACTGAGTACCGCAGTATTTCTAGAAGCAGTCACATAGCCAAGCATTGCCTCTTCATTGTTCTCCATTTGTATCTCTTAGAACTCTCCATGTGTATCGGTACTCTTGGATATGTCTTCCATGAGTGGAAGGGGCTTTGTTTCATTTGTTGTCTTTTTATCTCTTTTCTTCTTTTTACTGCATTGGGGGATATTTCTTCAGTTGAGTTATTTTCTAAATCAGTAGGGAAGGTGGAGAAAGTAGGATGGAAACTTGCTGCTTAAGCAAAATCCCCTAGAAATAATATTTCCTCTCTCTATAACTGCTTTCTCTCCCTCAGCAGCATCGCGTGCCTTTTAAGTAAGCCCCGTGATGCTCATGTGCAAGTACTGTGAATTTTGTGTACATTTGTGTTTTACAGCTGCATTTTCAGAAGAATTTTTCAGAACAATCTTAAAAGGTGTCGTTGTTGTTGTTGTTGTTGTTAAGTTCCGTTGAATTGTAGATGACTCATAGCAACCCTACGAACAAAAGGTCATTTCTTCATGTTCATAGAGTTTCCAGAGGCAAGCCATTTCAGAAGTGGATGCCACTCCTGCTTCCAGACTTGTTTTAATTGGAAAGCTCCACCAAACACTGTCCACCATGGGTGACCATTGTCACATTTGGCACATCAGTGTCACAGTGTTTAGCATCACAGCAAGCATGAGTTACCTCTATACAGCAATGCACAGACCAGTGCTATACCACTTAAAAGGTGTTATTATTTTTAAAAATCTAAGAATCTCAATATTGTGTCATGTCATAGACAAACCCAGATTGAGTTTTGGCAACTGCTATCATTGAAAATTAAAATAAAGTGCATTAGGAAGTAAAAAAAATGCTCAAAGGAAAAGCCTTCTTGCATTGTAAAACCATTTACTGGAGTCATCAGGAGAAAAATACTCCAGGGAAATTAATTGGTGATCTCTTCAATGCCCATTTATGACAAATCCAGATGAATTACTATGATGTTTTGAGGTCCTTGGAATCTTTGTGTCTCATGGTTTGCTGTGACAGATGTGTGATTGTCTCTCTAGGTGAATGGTATTCACCTTGATTTGAATGTTGCAGAAAGCACTAGCTCACTGTGTGCAAATGACTTATGACAGTTCTCTCTGTCCAGACCAGGTACACGGTGGCCAAAGACAGTGTGGTCCAGTTCTTCTTTTACCAGCCAATCAGTCATCAGTGGAGACAGACAGACTTCTTTCCCTGCACTGTGACATGTGGAGGAGGTGAGGTGCCGATTTTGCTGACAAATACTTTAAACTCTGATCTAGCAATTGAACGCCTGAATTGTTGATACTGACCAGATATTCAATGTAGTACTTACAGATGTCTAATCACGCAGCATATTACTCAACAGCTTGAAATGCAGTTGTGTTACTGAGTGTACGGAGGCCTTTATTCAAGAGGATAAGTGAGGAACCAGATATGGAAAAGTTGTCTTAGGAAAAAGTAGGAGCCATGCCTGCTTGCATTCTTGGATCTCTTCCATATCTCGGCATCCCTGTGTGTTACAGAATAAACCCATTCCATAGGGTTTCTTGGCTATAATTGTAATCAGATAATCAGGCCTTTCTTCCAAGGTTGGTTCAAACCGCCAGTTTTTAGGTAGTCACCAGGGGCAAATAATCGTGTCAATGGGCTATGGAAAAGCTAGGAGGAAGAGAGGTTAAGTGGCCTTCCCAGCCTGGTCAAGGTAATGGAAGTGTTAATTCTAATACTTGGCATCTTTTTTTTCTCTCCTCAGTTGTGAAAGTCTAAACCAAAAGGAGAAAGAATATCTACTGAAACCCACAGGGGAATTCCTGTTTTCCATTTGCTTACTTGGGAGGTGTTAATAGTTGGGGTAGATTTGAGGTCACGTGTAATCTAGGGCTCACCATGTGCTTTCTATGAAAGAAGTATCTTTGTAGTCTGAAGTTAAAGACAGAAGTCTGTTTAACACAGAGACACAGTAACTCCTAGAAGCAAATAATGAGGTGACCAGAAGCAACTGCTAAGGTCATTCTCTTCTGAAGTGAATGTTTAAGCTGAAGAGTAAATGGTTCTTCATAAATGTTAAATTTCACATCATGAGCTATGAAAATTATTGAAGGACCTAGACTTTTGCTCCCTTTAAGAACATCCAGCGCACTGTCTACAGGACATTTGCCATGTCCCGAAGCCCATCCATCATCACATTTGTCCCTTCATATAGCTCTGTGAAGATTTCATCTTAACCCTGCTTTATATGTGAGGAGTCTCTGAGTAGTGCAAATGGTGTATCCTCCAGTGCTAACAAAAGGTTTCTCAGAATAAAGACCTGGCAGACTGCTTCCAAAATGTCAGCCTCTGGAAACTCTAGTATCAAAGCTAAGCTTCAATGGACTTTGCTTGTGTCTCCCATGAACTGCCTATATGATGACCAGCATCTGCTCCCACACCTGAGATCTGGTCAGGGCACCAAGGATTGGGCATGATTCTGCTTGCAGAACTAGGAAAAAATAATCCTCCCCCTTCAGTTCAGCTCATCTCATGAACCCAACTCATCCTTTACCGTGGGTTCCAGAATATCAGCTCAGAGAGCCAGAAAGTGAGCTGGGGCTCTGCACTCTCTCCTGTAAAGTACAGGAATGTTGAGGAGGGGCCTCCTTAGCCACTGTCCAGTTTCTGGGGAGATGCAGGGCAGATCCCTCTTTTCTGACATGTCTCCAAACATGACATGACATGACATGACATGACAGGCACCTTTGTGGGGCCCATGATCCTGTGAGACCTATGTGTTTGGAAATAAAAGATAGAATTTGAGGGCTGGATAGGACCTTAAATGGAAAATGTGAGATGAAGGGTTCTAGTTTCTTGTTTGTTTATTCTTTGGGACAGACTATAGGCATAGACCACTTGATCTTGATCCTACAGCAGTGATTCTCAAAGTGTGAATCTTAGACCAGGCAGTATCAGCAAGCCCAGAGCATTAGTTAGAAATACAGACTCCCATATCCCACCCTAGGCCCTTTCTGAATCAGAAAGTCAAAACTTAAAAACACAGCACTGGACTCCAGCAAGGCCTCCAGGTGGTTCTGATGAACACTCGCATCTGAGAACCACCATTGTCCAAGAGCACTGTCTTCTTGTAGCAGCTGAGTTCGTGTTCCTAGACTCATGGTGACCTGTATGTCAGCGCAGAGCTATGTTTCATTGGATTTTCAATGACTACGGGTGTGATTTTTGCAAGTACATTACCTACTTTTCTTCTGAGGTGCCTTGGATAGATTCAAACTTCCTACCTTCTGGTTAGAAGCCAAGTGTGTTAACCTAAGGAATCTATAGCCATTTGATCTTAATTATTTTTCCTTGTTACTCCCGTATTAGTTTACTCAAAATGCTTTCCTTAAAAGATTATTTTTAAACTTAAGTATGTTTATAAAATAATTTTAATAATGTCAATGTAAAAGTATTATCTCTTGCCATAAATAAAAGCACAGGCTTAAAAGAAATACAATGAAAACAAGTCAGTGTAGTTGATAATGTTTAAATCTACCAATTCTATCACTCTGTTTCTATTCTAGCAGAAATGGACAAATAATCCAATTCTTTCTGAATTGAAACTAGTTTGTTGCATGGTATAAGCTTTTTCCGAGGCATAAATGTCTAATCTTTTCAATATCACTAACATTTATAACATTTTTTAAAAAAACATTTGACCTTGCCTCAAGCCAAACCCTGGTGCCATAGCACTTTGACTGGGTTGATAACTGAATGTTGACCATTCAATTATTGGGAGAAAGGGAGGAAGTTTCCTTCCCTAAAGATTTACATCTTCTGAAACCATGTCAGAATCAACTCAAACACAGTGGGAGTTTGGGGATTTTAAAGCTGACTGAGGTAAAAATTTCTTGGAATTGAGACTGTGGGCTGAGTTATGCCAAAAAACATCTCTAAACCTGGGCCTCAAAAAATTATTTGGCCACTTCTGTTCTCCAGAATGTGCTTGTTCAAGTTCACCTCAAGAAGCACCTTTGTCTAGTAGCTAGAGAGCAGGAATTGAAGATCAAATGTCTAGATTTTGTTTTTGGTCTTGCCACTAATTAGCTCTATGACATTGTTGAGCCGAAGTCTTTCTGTAAATTGGACTTAAAATATTTCCCCTCATGAAGTTGGTGGGGGCTCTCGTGGCCTAGTGGGTAAAAGAATTATGCTGCCAACCCCAAGGCAGGTGGTTTAAATCCACCAAAGGCTCCAAGGGAGAAAGAAGGACAATCTCCTCATGTGAGATTTTTAGGCCCTGAAAACCCTCTGAAAGGTCAGCTCTGAGAAGGTCCTAACTCAACCACAAATAACAATATGTGAGGCTGCTGGAGGACAAAATTAGTGTCCGGCAAGCAGTAGACACTTGGGAAATATTTATTATGTCGAATCTGAACCTGAACTTTGTTTAAATATTCCCTGAGGATCTCAGAGGTCTTCAGAGTCCACAGTGCTGTGGCTTTCCCCCACCTGGCAGTCCGTTAGATGAATTGTGGGAAGCATGCATGGCTTACTGGCCACAGTGGAATGCTCTCAGACACAGGGATGCTTATTATCCAGAAGCAGAGTCCCACAGCATGAGTCTCTTCATTGACCACCAACTCGAAGTAAAGAAATGGCAGAGCCTTTTTTTGTTCATAAAAACAAAACCCAATAAATCAAACCAAACAAACAAAGCACATGTCTTTCCTTTGACTTTATATTCCTTATCTCCCACACACAGTTAACTGGTGAGGTTCCCATTTAGATAGTCATGATCAGAAGGATGCACTCTGCATTTGGAAGGCTAGTTTATAGTGAGATTCTGCTTAGAACAGTCATTTCAGTTCCTGGGAAGAGTTTCTGATGCTTGAGTGTCTGAGGAAGGGTGCAGCCCGTCCTGGAGCCCCAGATGTGCCTGAGGGCACCTAGCAGGGCCATTGTCTGAGAAAAGTGCAACAATGAATGAATGGAAACAAAAAAAAAAGAACAGAAGGAGACCTTACGCTGCTTTGGGGAACAATCCCCATGTCACCTGATATTGCCACTGTCTGTAGAATTACAGAATTTATTTTTCTTTAATGTGGTGTTATTTGTCTTCAAGTTGGAACAGACCAATAGCTGACTGTCTAGCAGGTCATCAGAGGCAGTTAATTGCACTAAAGGAGATTGCTTATCCTTCTCCCATGAAGCTCCTGGTGGATTTGAACAGTGTGCCTGTGGGATTGCAGTGCAGCTTCTTACCTCTTGGCCACCAGAGGACTAAAATCTCATCCTGATTCTTAGTAGAGAGAGTAGAACTGCCCTTAGGATTCCCAAAACTAGGACACCATTTCTGCACTCATAAATCTTTACAGAAGCAAATTGCATTTTCTTTCTACTACTGGGTTTGAATCATCAACCTTTCAGTTAGTAGCCAAGTGCTTAACTACTGGGCCACCAGGGAGCCTTTAAGGGGATCTGGCACATTTCGTTCACTTTTAATTACCTCCAACCCCAAGCCCAGTGCCATTGAGTCAATCCAAACCTCCTTAGATTTCTGGGGCTGTAAGTACTTGGGCACATGGCCAGGAAGGACTGGTCCTTGGAGAAGGACATCTTGCTTGGAAAGGTGGATGGACAGCACAGGAGAGGGAGACCCCAAATGAGATGGATTGATATAGTAACTGGGGCGTTGGGGGATGGTGTGTCAGAATTATAGAGACTGGTTCAGGACACAGCAGGGTTCAGAGCTGCTGTACACAGGATTGCTGTGCATCACAGGTGACTCAACAATAACATTCTGCGACAGGTTTGGGAGCAGGAGTGGCATCCACTTCCTAAACAACTTGCCTCTGGAAACTCTTTTAACTTTGATAAATGTCAATAGCTGTAGAGGAGCTTCAGGGCTTTTGTTCATAGGGTCGCTATGAGTCCCGTTCAACTCAAAGGCAGTTAACAACAACAACAGGTACTTGTAGGAGGAGACTCCCCATCTTTATGCCATGAAGCTGCTTGTGAATTTGAACCATCAACCTTTTAGTTAGTGATGCAGCATATAATACACTAACCCACCAGAGCTCCCTAACTATCTCGAAACTGCCATAAAATCAAAGGAAAAAGAATTGTCTTTCCCCAAATGATAAGCACCTGTGTGCTTCCCGCCCTTCCTTTCTGGGTCATGTTTCCATTTAGTACAGTTTGTTTTTCTTTTTCTGACTAAAAAAGCTATAATCTGCGTCCACACTTAGTTTGGAGAATATAAAAGCACACACATAAACCCCACCAGGAAGGCATTACCTAAATTTAATTATATTAGTAATCAAATCTACATGATTTCTGTAAACGACATATGGAGTCTTGGCTAATCAGGAAAATGAGTTCTCTGGTCTCTCAGGTACCATGGGGATTGGGGTGAACATCGCTGGTCCTTTCTGTAACTGTGTATGCGAGACACTTGAGGCCCGTCCGCAGAGCTCAGAGACTGCCTCCGCCATCTGATATTGTAGACTTTCTGGTAGATGCTGGCACCAGAGTCACATTTTATTGACTCCGTTTGGATTTTCATTTTTGTGGTTTTTGACCTTGCTTTTTGGAATGCATACCGGTATGTCCTTCGACACTCAGCTTACATCCCAGCCCTGTCTTGTACAAAACTGTCTGGTGGTTTAGAAAATCAGATCCCTCCCAGCAATAAGGCCTTAATTGTATTTTTAGACCCATTGGCAGAGTTCTTAGCTTTAGGCCTTTAAAAAAAAAACCCCGCAGAAAACTCCCAACTTCATTCTGATTTTAAAAGTGACTTCTTGGAAATTTAATTTATATGACACTTATACAGTGACAGGACACCTGGAATTGGACCTTTCGGGAACTGCAAGCATCACCTTTGTGCGTTGTTTTGGTTTCTTTATGACAACACTCATCTATTTGGAATGTGCACCTTCCTGAACGTTTGTATAAAGTGAATTGAAGAGAATCAGGAGTAAGCCTTCATTCCTTCACCTATGAGTGTCCACAGATTAGGACACAGAGATCGGATTTTATTTCTCTCTCCGTGAACCCATTGCCATCAAGTTGATTCTAACTCCTAGAAACCCCAGTGGGCATGGGAGAAGCCTCCCATAGAATTTCCAAGGCTCTGTTCAGTCATTTCTGGAAGCAAACTGCCACCTACTTCTCTCATAAAGTGGCTGGTGGGTTCAAAGCACCAGCCGTTTGACTAGCAGCTGAGATGACTAACTACTCTGTCATTAGAGCTCCTTCCCCTTGTAGTTATTGCTATTGAGTTGGAACCAACTCATAGCTGATCTTTCCAGTAGGTTTTCAGAGACTGTAAATTGGACAAGAGATTTCTCATCTTTCTCCCTCAGAGCTCTTGGTGAATTCAAACCAGGAACTTTTGGGTTGGCAGCACAACTCCTTACCAAGAGGCCTCCAGAATGCCCTTTCCCCATATAGACAATGCTTAGGTCATAGTTCACAATGTTCGTTGGCTGGGTGCCCTAAGACAATGATGAGTAAAATGTAGTGTTTGCAAACAATGAGATATTATGCTTAGAAAAGAAGCAATCACATGAGTATATCTTAAAAACATAATTCTGAGTGAGAAAAGTGGAAAAGAAGATGTTTTAAAAGTATCATCACAGTACAGAATGAATGGCTCCAACATTGTGGGTATTGTCATTAACATTATGTAACAAAATACATATGAATGTTTGAACAGTCAATGTGCTTTATAGACTTTCACTCAAATTGCAATTTGAACACCAAAACACACTATCATTTATTTAGTTAAAAGCACAAAAAACATGATTATGTAAGACATGTGTATATTTAAAGATATTTTAAAACATTTGAAAAATAAAGATACATAAAACCCAAATTGGAATATGTCTCTCTGGGCAGTGAGATGAGAGATTCTGTAAGTGGGAACAAAGAGGAAATTTATGAAGAAAACTAGGAAAGGCCTTATATAATGGCTTAATGAGAATGTAATAAGAACTGAGTAAATAACTTCCAAGGTCCCAACATTTTTTAAAAGCATCTAATGCATCACATGCTTGACTGCAAACCAAAATATTGGAGAGACGAGTCTGCCTAAAGGCACCTTGAAGAAATGGCTGGTAATGCAGTACTGAAAACTCATTTGAAGACTCTGTGGTGCTCTGAAACACATACCATGAGCTGAGTCACCTCATTGACATCTGGTGTTATTTTAACTGTTAGTTAAAGATGCCAAGGTTACCTCCATCACAGTCAGTTCAAACAGTGGTTTTCAATCTTGGCCACATAGTTCAGTCATCTCAGATACACCTGGGATCTTTTTCAAAGGACTGGTTTCCTGAGCCTAAGCCACAGAGCTTTTGACTTAATTGGACCGTGAATGGGCCTAGGTTTTGGTCTATATTAAAAGCTGCTCCTGGGGCTCTATTATACAACCAAAATTGAGAACTACTATGTGTCTTAAAGAAGATAAGAAAGTATGTGACAAGTGATAACTTTTCCAAGTTAAGAATAAAACAAATGCCGTATTCAGGGATTCCTTTCTCTCTCTTTAGGGTATCAGCTCAATTCTGCTGAGTGTGTGGATATCCGTTTGAAGAGAGTCGTTCCTGACCATTATTGCCATTACTACCCTGAAAACGTAAAGCCAAAACCAAAACTGAAGGAATGCAGCATGGATCCTTGCCCATCCAGGTTTGAATACTTGCCCACACCTGTTTTACTCTAGAAAGAAACAAACCAACTGCAACTCAGACGAGTCCATCTTTGCAGGGCAACACTGTTCCATTTCTTGACTTTGCACATATGCTGTTGCAAAGTGTCTGAGTTCACATTTATAACTCGGTCAACAATAGGAATTGGGATGTATTTGTTCACCAGACTGCTCCTAGTCTGGCTGCCTCCTACACTGGGCTATGGGTCCACATACATAGTTAAGCTCTTTAAAATGAACCTTTCTGACCATCTCCTGCTGTGTCTCTTCATCCAACTACAATGTCTGAGCCGTCTGATAGTCATAAATATCCTTAACCCACAATTTTAGCTTTTAAACTGGGTCACCCATTACCATGTTTTGACTTGTGAAGTGCTCATATTAAATTCAGTATAAATAATGCATTGTGGAAGGAGGGAGAAAGTTTTTGTGCCAAAGCAGAGAAGAAATGCATAAACTATCCTGTTGCATAATTTAGTACCTGCTGACTTGGATTGCCCGGGGAAATTTCCTGGCTTTACTACAGTATCTTAAAATAACAGCACAATATCAAGTCCCAGAATCCCCCAGCTATCTGCCAGCTGGCTGAGACAGAGATGTGCAAGTGGAAAAGGAAGCATTCTCCATGGATTTCATTTCCTATCACTAAAGTGCTCATTTCCTGTAATCCCAGTTGAACATAATTGTTAATAGGAATCTTTTTGAAGGACAAATTCTCCGAAATAAACCAGTTCTCTGAAGGCCTACTAATGGACCAGTGTGTTAATATACAACTTGTATATTTAACCAGAATAATTTTTAGATTATCAACAGCAATAAATTTTCTTTGATTAATGAATGGCACTAGCTCCAGTTTCTACATTTTCACATAGAACTAAGGTGATGGCTAATAGTCTAGGAAGAATTACTGACACTTGGGATTTGGGGTTTTTAACGTTAAGAGTTCTGTATAAGTAAACAAATAAGTGTGTTGCTTGACTTGGAAATGACACTCCCCTAATGATTTCATTTGTAGCGATGGATTTAAAGAGATTATGCCCTATGACCACTTCCAGCCTCTCCCTCGGTGAGTTCCATGTTCCCTTTTCTTTTCTTTTTTTTTTTTTTTTAATTACATAGTTGCAAGAGGCACCCCTGAGTAATGCAAATGATCAAGCACTCAGCAACTAGCTGGTAGGTTGATGGTTTGAGCTCACCCAGCGATATTGTGGAGCTAGGCCTGTTACTCTGCTTCTGAAAACCCTGTGGAGCAATTCGTCTCTGGAATGCATAGGGTCTCCAGGAGATGGAATCAATTTCATGATAACTATCAACAGCAACAAGCTTGTTTGTAAAGGGAAGTGGCATCAGTAGCAGTTGTACAGAAGTTACACGATCTAGATATTAGCCTCTTTACAGAGCTAAAAAAAAGGAACAAGAAAGTTCTAAGACTTTGAAGAGCCAAGCCCACTACTTTCAAATTGAGTCCACCTTATAGCTGCCCTGGAGGACAAAGTGGTTTGAATCCACCAGCTGGTCCGAGGAAGAAAAATGAGCAGAATTTTCCTATGAGATTTATTGCCTCTGAAAACCTGCTGGAGGGTCAGGTAGGGATCAGTTCTGACTTGATAGTATAGAACAGTAGCAGGAGAGCATACAGCTGCCCCATCGGGCTTCCAGTGCCATAAAGATCTTTACACAAGCAGGCTATCACATCTTTTTATATGTAATAGCTGATGGGTTTGGAACATTTGTTGGGCAGCTACCAGAAAGGCTGGCAGTTTGAACCTACCAGTCACTCTGAGGGACGAAGATTTTTTTTTTCCTTCTGCAAAGATTTATAGCCTCAGAAACCCAGTGGTGCTTCCCATGCTAGATTCAGACACCTTGGATGGCTATAACCGAGGAAGTCCAAGCACTGTAATTGATTAAAAGTTGAATTCCCCACTACATCCCGATAAAGCCGCAGTGGCCTAATCTGTAGGACTTGGGCTGCAAACCCAAAGGTACTGCCTTTCTGGTGATCCAAATCCTCCTGCAACCCCTCAGTAGAAAGATATACAGTCTCTTTGCATGTGATATATAGGCATGGAAACCTGCTGGAGGGTCAGCTGTGAGTCGGTTCAGACTCAACAGCAGTGAATTTTAGTCTACACCTAGGTGGTGGCTAATAGAGTTCTTCCTAACTTAGTGTTTCTCTTAGTTTCTAATGATATTGTCCCTTTGTGTTTAGAGATTACAAAGTTCTAAGAGACAATGTCTTTGTGATTTAAAGATGCTTTCACACTCTAGATTTTCATTTGTTTAACTCTCTCAATGGCCTGTCTCTAGGAAAGGTAAACCATTCCTAGTGGACAGAAATCTCAGGGTCAGAGGAGTTAAATTAATGAACTTTGATAAATGTCAATAGTTATAGAAAGGCTTCAGGCCTTTTGCTCCATAGGGTCACTAAGAGTCATGCTCGACTCGAAGATAATCAACAACAATAGTTATTGTGTGACAGTTATGACTACCATCAATTCCTGCAAGTCTGGAGCTTTCAGCTATGTCACACTGATATCTTGAGGATCAACCTTTTGCAGCTTCTTTGTGTAGTTGAAAAACACAAATGAGTGAATAATGTATTTTTATTTGTTTGCTTTTGAGCTGGGAACATAATCCTTGGACTGCATGTTCAGTGTCCTGCGGAGGAGGCATTCAGAGGCGGAGCTTTGTATGTGTTGAGGAGTCCATGCATGGAGAGATACTGCAGGTGGACGAATGGAAATGCATGTACGCGCCCAAGCCCAAGGTCATGCAAACTTGCAATCTGTTCGATTGTCCCAAGTGGATTGCCATGGAGTGGTCTCAGGTAAGATGTGAGGGCTTGCCTCTTTCAATGTTGTATACCCAACACTGTGCTGGATAACATGAAAAGTACAAAGTCATAGATGAAAATAATCCCTGTTCTCCGAGAACATAGGCAAATAGTTGAATGGCAACATAAGAGAGACCACAAGCATAAGGGTAGATAAGAATAATTTACATTAAGGATGGTTTTATGTCTAGAAGGACCCATTGTTGGAAAAGATTTGACCAGAGTCTCTGTTAAAATGTTTGATGGATATTTGAAGGACATGAAGACTTCAAATAATTCACTCGTTATTGAGAGCATTCTTGTGTGGATGGTTGTGCAGTTGATGTCCTAGGAATAACACAGTGACTGGAGGTTAAAAAGTACCCTAACTCATGTATATTGTTTAAAATACAATTAATTACCAAAACTCTATGCCTGTTATCACTTTGTCTTCTCAAGTCTCCATTGAACTTTTCCCATTACTTCATCCCTCCCTTCACCTTCTACCCTCTGTTATCCTAGTGATGTCCCCCTTTTTCCTGTCCCCTCTTTTCTCTTACCCTTTTATTGAGCATTTATACATATCTTTCTGTTATTCTATTTTATATAAAATATATATAATGTATATAGATGATAGTATAAAAGCAAGATACAGCACAAAAAAAGATGTATATGAATGATTAGTTGCAAACCAATAAAATTATTATTTTAAAGACTCTTATTCATCTCGTTTAAGAGAGAGCAGATGTTACTTAGACTTGGAAGGTGAAAATGCTGACATTGTGATCACGATTGTCATTAATCCAAGACTTACTAAGACACATTATGATTTTTGCTGAAAGAAAGTTATGTATTATTTTCCAAATAAGTGAGTCAAGATGGACTAGAATTGGAGAAGAACAGAAGCACGAAGCTTTGTTGCTTCAGTGTCAGTCTCTGAGGAACCAGGTGGTGAGAAAAGGAAAAAGAAAAGAGCTGTCCCAGAGGAAACAAGGCCTCCCATCAGATTAACTTCTTTTTCCTTTGCAATGGAGTTGACTTAATGAGCCTCCAGAACAAATAAGGTACAAATGAATTTGTTCAAATATGAAAATCCAGGCATTTGTTGTTGTAACCAGCTCATAGCTGACCTCCCAGCAGGTTTTCAGAGGCATTTAATTAACGGCCCAGGTGGAGATTGCTCACCTTTCTCCAGCTGAGTCACTGGTGCTTTTGGTCGGCAGTACACCTCTTTCCCGCAAAGCCACCAGAGCTCACAGACATTTTTAAAGTCACATTTTTAAAGGTAAATAACAGTTATTTTTTTGTCGAGTGAGTCATAATTGAAACTTGAGTTTTTAGAGCTTCTTCGAGTTACCTCTACTCATTTAGCCCAACATATGCATGCATACATTTTTTTTATCCTTTTGTATTTATTCTGCATGTCAGTTACAATCTAGGAGTAAAGAAAACTTGTTCTTAATGACCAGAGTTGAGAATGGACATGTGGCCATGGGTATGCAAAAAACAGTTTGCACTATGTTTATATACATTATTATGAGTTTACTGTTGTGCAAGGATCAGCAGGGTTCTGTTCTGCTTGATACAGGGTTGCTGAGTCAGAAATGACCAATGACATCTAATGACAATATTGAGGAAAACTGGGTGAGATACATATAAGAAATATCTGAACTAAAGGACAGTGTCATAATAGTCTTAGAACAATAATAATGATATCAAATATAATGTCTATGAATAATTCTATAAAACACAATGTACACGAATAAAGCACAATGTAAATGAAAGTTTATGTAAAACACTATGTGCCTGCATCAAACGCAAAGTATCTGAAGGATTGTATGCTAACCAATAAAAATATGAAAATCTATGTAGCTAATAATGAGCTGTGGGCTAGAAATCTCTTGTTTAAAGTCAACCAGGACCTGGTGTGTGGGCCTTGTATTAAAAAGGTGGTTGGGCCCTTGGGTCTGGTGTTAATTGTGTTTGGGATGAACATTCTTCTAAGCGGGATAGCACTGGTCTGTCAGTTTGCTGCACTGAAGTAACCTGGAGTTGCTATAATATTGAACACTGTGCCACTGGTGCATCAAATTCCATAATCGTTACCTAGGCTGGACAGTGTTTGGTGGAGCTCCCAGATTGCGACAGGCTTGGAAGCAGGGGTGGCATCCACATTCTAAACAACATGCCTCTGGAAACCCTATGAACATAGAGAAACAACGATAGTTAGGGAACAGGGTTTAGGTCTTTTGTTCATAGAGTTGCAATGAGTTGGGCTCAAATCAACAGCACTTAACAACAACAAAAAAATTGGAGTTCTAATTTCTTTTTTTTTTAAAGGCCCTACAAGGCAGAATTAGTCCTTAGAGAGGGATGTCATGCTTGGGAGGGTGGAGGGAGAACTCAGGAGAGGAAGACCCTCGATGAGATGGATTAATTCTGTCACTGCGGTCATGGGGATAGGTGTGTCAGAGACAAGGTTGGCAAGAAATAAAACAGGGTTTAGGGCTGTTGTATATAAGGTCACTATGAGTTGCAAGTGACTCGACGGCACATAACAACATATTTGTCACTGAGTCTAAACTGACCCATCGCTGACCGTCCAGCAAGTTTTCAGAGGCAGTAAATAGCACAGGAAGAGATTTCCCATCCTTTTCCCTTAGAGCAGCTGGTAAATAGACTGTGTACCTTTGGGCTTGCAGCACAGCTTCTTACCACTAGCCCTGATAGCGTACTAGGAAACCTGTGGGGCTGCAATCTGAAAGGTTCACAGTTCCAATTCAACAACTGCTCTGTGGGGGCGGGCGGGGGAGAATAGGCATTCTGCTCCTGAGAGGATTTATAGCCTTGACAACCCAATGCAGGGCCACTCAGAGTTGGAAACAAGTGGGTAGCAGTGGGTATGGGTTGTTTGTTTTCCTATACATAGCCAGAGCAAGACATAGGTTGACCTGAGTGGCAGTCCTCCCTCCAGAGCATAGGAGGTGGCCATGCCCTCTATAGGAGAAACTGAGAGAGTGACCTTGCTCTCCTTTCCTAAGGATGACCAAAGCTCGCAACCTGGAGTTTATGCTGTTTGGAGTCATTCTCTAAGAAAAAGAATACAGAGCACAAGTGTTGTGTATTAGAGTGACTCTTTAGAATAAGAAGGGAATTGGCAGCAAATGTCAAAATAAAAGAAAAACTGGCAACCAAAACTTTACAGCAATCACTAAAAATAGAGCATAATCTAGTTTAATTGTCTGAGGCCCCATCATCTTTTCTCCTTCTGCCCATTTCAGATTAATCTTTCATGCTACTTTTTGGTATGACAACAATTGTGTAAGGTCATACCCTAGAGATAGAGAGATAACACAATCTTTACTATAGTGGATCAGGATTTCCTTTTGTTCTTATGGTTTAGAAAAGTTTCCCTCATCTTTGCAAAATTTTTATAAAATCATGTAAATTTGTGGTAGGAAAAATGGCAAAACCTCTATTAGGTACCTTTCATATTTGAGCTGTAAGGCTTAAAGACGTTTTGGTTTTTCTTGTGCTGTGACTTCATATTATCAGGATTGACTCTTCCCACTACCATAGATAATGTTCTTACAAAACGTAATGCATGGGAATGATTGTATAAAACACGGTGTAAGTGAAGAATAGTGTGAAACATAACATATATGAACTTTGTTAGCAAATCAATATAAATATTAAAAACAAACAAAAGTCTTCTGTAAATATGGATACTCTCCTACCAGGCAATTTACATTCTCAGAAACCCAATGAATCAGCTATGAGTTGGCTCTGACTCCATGGAAATGAGTGTTTTGAGTTTTTTCTTCTGTACTTAATATTTCTATAGATCAGTGAGTGGCACATGACAAATTAATGCCTTTGTGGATCCCTTTTTGGGAAAGATGATCATTCACTCCGCTTTTTTGGTTGTTTTTTCTTTGAAGTGCACTGTGACCTGTGGCCGAGGGTTACGTTATCGCGTTGTCCTGTGTATCAACCACCGTGGAGAGCACGTTGGAGGCTGCAATCCACAGATGAAGTTACACATCAAAGAAGAATGCATCATCCCTATCCCTTGTTATAAGCCACGAGGTAAATTTGGTGTGTGCTTCAAATTCAAATAAAATTATGTGTTCCAGCTGCCATTCAAGTATTTCTACTCCAATTAACAAACATTCTAATAGAGGAACCCTTGTTAAGTGGTTGGCTGTAGCCAAAATGCTGGTGGTTCAAATTCCGTAAGAGTTTAAACCTGGTGATGTTCTCTTGTAAAGATTACAATCTAGAAAACCGTATGGGGTCATCCTCCTTATCATATGAGGTCATTATAAGTAAATATCAGCTCCATAATACCTAACAGTAATTTTCTTATGAGCCATCATTCTGAGAGGTGGTGGTGGTTGTTATGTGCCATTGATCTGACTCATAGCTGACCCTCCAGCTGGTTTGCAGAGGCTGTAAATCACTAGAGAAGAGATCGCTTATCTTTTTACAAAGCAGCTGAGGAATTCAAAACACCTGTGTTTGGATTGGCATTGGAATCCTTTACCCATTAGGCCACCAAAGGTCCCTGAAGAGAGGTTCAATATAGATGGAGTTTGAAAAAAAAAAAAAAAATCAAAGAGAAAAGTCAGAGAAACAAAATAAGCAGGAAGGAAAAAGAAGGAATACAAAATGGTATTACATATTCTCTGAAGGTTTTGATTCTTCATTGTTTCCATGTTATTATATTATAGAGGTAATTATTTTTATGTACCTCCTCCACTGGACTGTAGTTTCTTAAGGAAGCGACAATGTTGTTTTCATCACATGTCTCCATCCCTAGCAGGGGGTGAATGAAGATTTTTTTTTTTTTCCATTTCCCATTCTAGAATTTCAGGAGCATTTGGGCTTTTGAGGAGAATGGAAAAACATTCTTTTTGCTTGTTAGTAAAAGAATCTTCCTTAGTAGTTTAAAGAGAATAAGGTGATTTTCCTTCATTATGTCAAGATTCATTATCCGTTCAAATAGCCTCATAATTAATTATTCAACAAGTATTTGTTTGGTGACCATCCAGGAAAATCAGTGGTTACACTCAATGTGGAAGTATATACACTGCTTATAGAATCCTGTGTTGTTTGGTGTGGGCCAATTTAAAGCCTGTAGTCACCCCCTATGAAAGAATAGAGGAGCTCCATAGTTTTCCAGGCCATAAACTTTATAGGAGGAGACAGAGCTTTATCTTAAGGAGCCACTAGGTAAATCCAACATGCTAAATTTTGCATTAGCACCCAAATGCTTAATTATTGTTCCACCAGGACCACTACAGAACTCTATACCTTCTGCTTTTGAGGCAGTTTCAACTCCTTGTGCCTCTTGGAGCAGCTAGTGGTTTCAAACAGTCTTTTTTGTAAATCAGGAAGCTCTCGTGGTTTAGTGGTAAGAGGTTGCACTGCCATTCCAGTGGCACACAGTTCAAATCCACGGGCTGCTCCTTGAGAGAGTGATGGGCAATCTATGCCTGCAGGATTTTTCTGCGTCCGAAAAGCCACTGAAGAATAAGCTCTGAGGAGATTCTAACTTGATGGTGCACATCACCAAAGGACAATTATTATTTGGCCAGTAGTTCTATACGTTAAATAGTATACCACCGTGACTCGTTGTTGTTGTGTACCATAGAGTTGGAACCAACCCATAGCTGACCCTCTGGCAGGTTTTCAGAGGCAGTTAATTGCACAGGAGGAGATTGCCCATCCTTCACTGGTGGCCTTGAATCATGTGCCTTCAGGATTGCAGCACAGCTCCTTGCCACTAGGCCACCAGAGACTCCTTGGTGAAGTCTTTTCTCCTTTTTTGCACACATTGGCACTTTCATTGCCAATTTCTCAGCATCCGAAAGCATCTGAAGCAGTTCTAAATTCATTTTCTTCTAGCCACGTAACAAGATTTCCTCCCTCTCCCTTCTTAGCTGAGAAAACTTCAAAGAAAAGAAAGGGGCACATTAGCTCTCATACAAGTGTAGCTGGTACTCTTCTCTCCCAACAACCAAAATAATAATGAAGGTTGCCTACACTGTAGTACAGACATTCTCCATCTTTCAACGTCCTGATCCTCCTTTTTCTCTATTACATCATTCAGTGGGCGAGAAGGATTTGTGGCAAAGCAAATAAGTTGACATGGCAGAAGTAAGAGCTTTAATTTGCAAACAACAGAAATTGGCTTTGAATTCTAAGAGGGGTTTTAATGTTAACTTGGAGAGCATGCTCCACTGTGCCATGAAGTTGTTTTAGTTGCATCTCGATAATTTGTTAATTAAAAACTATGGCAGGATTTTTTTTGTTGTTGTTGTTATTGTTCGATCCAGAAGTTACACAATGCTAAAGGATTCCATTTGCATTTGAAAAATGCAGCCTCTTTATAAATGAAATCTTCAGTGGATAGCTGCTATGTATCCAACTCCTTAATTATTAACAGTAACTATGCATATTGTTTATGTTCCTTTTTTTTCCCTTAGAAAAAAGTCCAGTGGAAGCTAAACTACCTTGGCTAAAACAAGCACAAGAATTAGAAGAGACAAGAATAGCAACAGAAGAACCAACGTGAGTCCAGGCTCTTTTATGGGAATAATCAGGGCATGGCCAGTTAACATGATATATGTCGTTTTTGTACTCATTGGAGTACAGTGATACGTTTAGTATCCAAATGACCTGGATTTTCAGACTCTAGAGAGCTTGCGCTGGCTGGAATTCATCTTTATTTCACAATTCAGCAGTCCTACTTTGGCAGTATCTGTGAGAAGCACTGAAAAAGAACAGTATTATTTAACTCAAAGCAGACCTAGTGGTCTAGTGCAATTAGGAGATTGGGGATTACTCCTAGATTAACACATGCAATTTTTCCAAGAACTGTCACTCCACAACCCATTACCACTGTGTCCATTCCAACTCGTAGAGACTTTATGGACAGAATAGAGTTCTTCCATAGGGTCTTCAAGGGCATATTCTTAACCTGAACTGATTGATACATCTTTCTCTAATCGAGTGGCTGGTGGGTTCCCACCACTGAACTTTGGGTTGGCAGCTAAGCACTTAACTACTGCATTTCCAGGGCTCCTAGGAACCATCGCAAGCAAAACAATAACCCCATGACTAAGTTCATGGCCAGTCTCTATAAAACCAGTTGTATTGAGATGGATTAGGTGAGCTAAGTAACTGTAATGAGAGGTAATAAGGGCTCTTGAAATATGAGACAGTGGCAACAGCATACAACCACCGTTGCTGACTGTGTGACCCCAGTTAAGTCTTCTCATTTTCCTGGGTCCGGTCCTGTCCTGACCTATGGCGTAAGCAAGATGGGCTTGTTCTCTTTGGGGTTCTGATCTCTTTGGGGTTTATTCCAACTCATAAATTCAATCACTGCAATCCACTTGGGATTTGACAAACTTGGGCTGTAAGGGAGTATCAGTGAGAATTTAGAATCAAAAGGCAATCAAAGAAACATTCTGGACACAGAGATACCGGGACTGGAGGAAGGAAAGAATCAAGAGTGCCCAGAGAATTTGCTGGATGAACAACAGCACCAATGACAGATTCAAGTAATTAGACAGGACAGCTGATTGCATGTCTGACACGTGAACTCCATGGTGCTGACAGGTTATCTGTAGAGGAGCAATTCACAAGACACTGGAGGGGAAGGAATTTCAGAAGTAATATGGCCAACCTGTCTCTCAAAACAGTCATTTCTTCATCAACACCTCCAGCCCTGGGCAGAGTTCACTGCATCAGGAGACTGTTCATTGTTATGTTGAATAACTTGGGCTATTTGCACATTTCCTTGTCTCTTACTGAGTCAAAATACATCTCCCTCTAATTGTTCTTCATTGAAACAAATACATTCATATATTCTTTTCCACATGACAAGTTTTGACGAATTTTAATAAGCTGTTGTGGGGTCTGGGAGTGTTATCTTCTCCACACTCGTCATTCTTAGCCTTACAGTGGTTTTTCATGCCTTGTTTCCAGGATTGTTGTTTTTAGACCTCTTACCAACTTCACAGTTAGTTTCACAACTTTCATTTGTCCATGTCCTTTTCAACTGCGGTCCAGCCCAGCCATGAGCCCCCGGGGAGCAGAGATCTCTTCTCTTTGAGAAGGCACCGTGCCTCTTGTGATGCTCGCCAAAGGAATGGGCATATCTTAGTTTGATGGGCTCAAAGATTTTTCATGTGGCCTGCTATCAAACCTGGATAGGAACACAGGACTTCTGAATACTGTGAGCACAACTGACCACAGAGCCATAAAATGAAGAGAGACAAGGTTGTACTCACTTGGGCTCATGGCAGAAGCTTGGAGGTCTGGAGGAAGTAATCAACATGAAAGACATGGATGGTAATAGAATGAACATAGTGGACGGAACAAAGAGCAGAACCAGAAGAGTTCAGTGTGAGAGAGACCAAAGAATTTAAGGACTTAATGGAAATGTCTTAGTTTCCTAGGGCTGCTGTAATAGAAGTAGCAGGAATGCCAAAATGTGCATGTATATTTATACACACACACATTTCAGAAGCTTGTGTTGTTATAGTTGTTAGGTGCCATTGAGTCATGTACAGCTCATAGCAACCCTCTGAAAAGCAGATTAGAGCCCTGCCCAATCCTGTGCCGTCCTCCTCATTTCTGATGTGCTTGAGCTCATTGCTGCAGTCACTGTGTCTAGGAATCTTGTTAAGAATCTTCCTCCCTTTAACATACTCCCTACTTTTCCAAGCGTGATGTCCCTTTCCAAGGAATAGCCTCTCCTAACAGCATACCCAGGGCACCAGCTCTGGAAAAAGGTGCCCTCTGTCAGGTCTAAGGTAGATTCTTACGTCCTCTAGACTCCTTTCTTCCCTGGTAATTATCTTGTGGTATCTTGTTTCATGTGGAAGATGTGGTTGTGATTCCCAGTCAGAAAACCCCAAGTGCAGCTACCTCTTACCAGCAGAGTCCTATCGGTGGAGTCTTCAATGTTGCTATGATGCTGAACAGGTTTCATTGGAACTTCCCAATTGATACAGACTAGGAGGAAAGACCACACCATCTACTTCTACAAAATCACCCAATGAACACCCTGTAAGTCACAGTGGTCTGCCCCACAACCAGTCACCATGGTGTAGGACCAGGCAGCTTGCTTTCTTATGTGCATAGAGTACACCACGACTGACCGTAACTGCTGTCAAGCCTGGATGTGAACACAAGAATACACAGAACTTCTGAATGCTGTGAATGCTGCCCTCATCTAGCACCACCACCACCATAGTGACTTTAGGCCCCATGCTCGCTCCAAGCATGCATTTTCTGTCTGCCTGACCTAACTTGGCTGGTGGGTTTCTGACTTCTAGTTATTCACAAAACTGATAAGCCTTCTGCTCCGGAAGGACACCACTCCTTTCTCCCCAGTGTGGAGGACTCAGCCGAGAGCACCTGTTCCGGCCTGAGCAGCTACCTCTCCCCTGCCTCCCACCATCTCTCCCTCTGTGGTCCTTGTGCAGTGTGCCTTTATAATTCACCCTGCCTGCCAGTTTCTGACCTGCTTCTGGCTGTCTAGTGCAAAGTTTAGGATTTCTTGCCACCACTTCTGACTCCATTCATTCCCTAGATTTCCAAACAAAACCGCAATATATCTCAGCTTCCAGTGCATCTTTTTATTACTACTGTCTTTTGTGGTTTGGGGATGCTTGCTTGTTGACAATGAATGAGAGAATGAATGTAGCTGTGTTTCCAGTCCCTTGAGCAAAGGCTGCCAAACCCCACTTGGAGAAGATAAATATTTCTGCCTCTGTGGTTTACCATGGCCCGGGCTCTGGATTTACATAGGGAGCGGATGTTCAAAAGCAATTTTTTTTTTAAAATTGTGAAAAAAGAGTTATAGCTTAAAAGCTAAGCCAAGGAAACTAGGGTTTTGACCTTAGCTTTCAGCTGTGGAATGTGTTGAGTTTCGATACGGTTCATCATTGTTTTACAAGTTCCTCTCCAGAGCCTTTTTAGTTTCTGTGGGATTCTCGATGTTTCTGCAGTCTCCTTCCCTTCTCCATTTTTCATATATGAGAACTCAAAAAATAGGACATATTTATAGCACTCTGTCTAGTTTCTTCATTGCTGTCTTAGCATTTCCATTTGTGGAAATTGCAAAAAAGGAAGACCCTCAATGAGATGGGATGACTCAGTGACTGGGGTATTGGGGGTGGGTGTGCCAGAGACGAAAAGGGTGGCTCAGGGTAGAACAGGGTTCAGAGTTACTGCATATAGAGTTGCTATGAGTCACAAGCAACTTGATGGCACATAACAACAACAGTAACAACATTTACAAAAATTAGGTTGCATTTTAAGAAATGGGTTTTCCTGCCCTAATGATGATAGTAATTTATATTGTGGATTTCTGTGTGCTAGTTCCTGTTCTATATGCACAACATAGATTAACTCATTCAATTATCGTAAGAGCTCTGTGGGCAGGTATTAATGCTGTCCTCATTTTAAGGATGATAAAACCAAGGCACAGAAAATGAAGACATTTCCTTCATTTCACAGCTTTTAATTGGTAGTGGATGATTCTTTCTATGATGTATGAGGCTTGAAAGAGTTGTTTTATTGCATTCAGACAACCTGTAGAGTGGGCTTAATGAAGGAGATAGAAGTAAGTGCTGACACTGTGGTAGTATAAGATTTCAGGGTCAGAGGGAGCTTCCTGGGAAAAGTACCCCATGAATTGAAGTCTTGGAAGGTCAGAAGAAGAGCATGTAAGGTATTGGGGTCGAGAAGTGCAGGAAGCCTAGCTAGACCATGGCTAACTGTTAAGAGTGGTCTATATAAGAAAACAGACCTCAGATTGTGGGGGATACTGGGATGAGATGTGCAACCAGATTCTCCATGGTGGAGTAAGAAGCCTGAACTTCATCTGGAGTTGTGTGGTTGTTATAAGGTGTCCTCTTGTGGGAGCTCTGGTGGCCTAGCAGTAAGAGACTGTACTGCAATCACATAGGCACATGTTTCAAATCTACCAACTGTTACTTGGGAGAAGGATCGACAGTTTCCTTTCGTGTGATTTACTATCTCTGAAAATCCACGGGAGGGTCAGCTATCTGTTCCGACTTGACAGTTCCCAACAACAACTCACAGCAACCCTGTGCACAACAGATCAGAACCTTGCCCTATCCTGTGTTTTCCCATATTCAAGACCATTGTTAGTGTTACTGTGTGAGTCTATCTCTTGAGGGTCTTTGTTCCTTTTATTGAACCTCCCAGCCTGATGGGTTTTTTCCAACATCTGTAGTTAATGAGACCATTTAAGGATTTTAATCAGAGAAGTAATGAATTCACAGTAACTTTTTAGAAGGATCTCCCTGATCATTGGTAGCTTGTTTCTAATTTTGACTGTGGTAAGTAAAACTGATGCAAACATGAAATGATCTCTATATCTTCAAGACATATTTTATGGAGTAAATATTCCAGACCAGAGATAGGCATAATAAAAGCATTTAATATCTGTTGTTGTTAAGTGCCATTGAGTTGTAGACGACTCATAGTGAGCCTATGAACCAAAGACCTGAACTGACACTTTTTCTTCA